ACTTCTTTAGTGGAGGACCTGGAGAAGACTCGTACAGCAAGAATTCTTGAAGTTTCTCTTGGTCAGCTCCCATCGAAAGCTGAGCCACTGCTCCGCGCCCAGCGGGCGCGCCCGGCTTTTTGCGCCAATGTACGGGTTGAGTTGTCACGCGGAGAGAAAGAAACGTCCGTTGCGCGTTGTCCCTTGAAGTGGACTTGTCGATGTTCGGTCCCCCAGCAATTGGTGCCCTTTCTCACCAACTTTTTTGGGGGGAGGCTTCCCCGTGTCTAAAATATGCAGAAAAAGGTTGGTACCCTTATTCTACCCTCTCTCCTGGAGCACCTAGTTTCGATGTTCCAGGGTTATCAAATTGTCCCCCTTCTTTTGCGCCACCGTGAGAGTAATTTTGTGACTTTCATGGACCCAGTTGCGATGGGTTCATGAACTCACCAACCCGAAGGGACTCGACCGGATCTGTCCTTTGTCCAAATTTGGACTGTAGCACTCATACCTTCTGCGAGGGTGCTTACTTTCTCACCTACGATGGTTTCGGCTGATCCCCCCAAGCCACTAGCCCCACAACGAAAGATAGGGTAGACAAGCACTAGCCATGATGCGTGGAGCCTCGAGTTTGGGGTTGGTCCATTGATTTCAACCAACGGCTGGGTAGAAGCAATGATTCAGAGCCAGGGCACCATGGAAAGGATATGGCCCATAGTCTTTGCTCACCTTAGACCTCCAGTGACCTGGCTTGGTTCCCTTGGGCCCCCGATCAATCCAATCAACCAAGACCTGTCGGTTGCTTCCTTTGTTCATCTTGTTTTTTGAGGGTTTCCGTTTGACAACCAACCAAAGTGCCACGTTTCTTTTCCCCCCACGGCCACGGCCCTGAGCCCTTGCCAGCCATCTTCCCACTCTTCAACCGCCAACTCCCCCCCCCTTTTTGCCTGGGCTTTGCATAAATGGCTGTGGGTCAAAATGGGTACCCAAAATGGAACCCTGGTAAATGGAGCCAAGGACTAAAACCTGCGGCCCCCTGGTGGTTAAATTTTGACCCATACCCACATGGAGCGAACCAAGAAACTGGATGCGTTTTGTTGTTCTACCTTTCGGGTGACCGGTTGCAACTGGGGTGGCTGACATGTTTTGTCTTCACCCATACCTTTTCAGGTGGCTGCAAACCCTTGAAGGGGGGGCCATGGCGGTTCTTCCTTGGGTTCTTCTGCTTGCAAATGGGCCCAGATCAGTATGCCATGAGTATGCATGCGTGTGACATTCAGGCTAGGAGCGCCCTTCCACTTCTGAAGTGCTTTTTATAACCCAAAAGCGGACCCAAACCAAGAGCGCACCCCAGCAGTTTGACAAGACGTCCCCCTGGACACACCCAAAAACCAACCCAGGACCTGTCTAGAAGGCCTAGGCCCTTGAGAGCGCTAAGGTGCGGCGCCTGTGGGTCAAGGAGGGCTTAAAGCTCAGCCCCTCCAAGGCGCCTGCAGCGATCGATCGAGCCGAACTCCGGAGGTGTTCGGCCGAGGTTCGGGGAAGAAGCCATGAATGTTCATTAGCGCTCCTTTGGACATCTACCTGGAGTCTTCATGACCCTTTAAAAATGGTTGGTCATTACCCAAAATAATGGGTCATGGACCCATTGTTTTAGGGTCATGGAGGCTCCAGGTTTGGACATCATCTAGGTTTTCGACTTTCATGTTCACCGCTTGGAAGTCATAGCCAAATTCGCATGTCATTTTTGGGGACGCTCCAAAACGGCTTCGGTGGAACTCCTTTAAACTCCGCGAATGTGGGTCGTTTCCCCGGTGGACGTTTTTCCCTGAGAGCCGTGTATGAGACAGACCCGTCCATTGATACCCAAGATGCATGTGACCAGTTTCCTCAAAGGACCCTCCTTTGGGTGGTTCCATGGATGTGTTTTTTTGTTTGAAAGGGGGGAAAGCCACCAGACTGCGCCCGTGTTCACTTCTGAACCTTGGATCAGGTTTGTTTAACCTCATTCCACTTGTTTCACTTAGTCCCTCCAATTTGTTTGTCAACTTTTGGGAATGCCATTTTTGTGTTGAAGCAAAGGTCCGTGTTTTTTTTTTACCACTCGATCGCAAGCGAGTGAAGCTGTGCTGCAGCTCAAAGCTGCGTGCAAGATCCTGCAAAGAGAAAGTATATCGTTGATTCATGATTGTTGGGCAGGGGGAGGGGGGTAGAGCTAAAGCAAGCTGTTTTTTTGTTGGGGGGGAGGTTGAAACCAAGTTCTAACCCGCGATGAAGGCCTTTGCTAGGATATGCTTTCTTCTGGCTTGTAAACTATGGTTGGTGCTGTGGAAGGGCGACGAGTTTTCAACCGGAACGGTTCCTGGAGATGGGTATGTCTTTTCTTGGAGGCGACCCCTTGCTTGACGGTTTAAAAGGGAAGCCAAGAGGACAATCACATGTTTTGCGGGTCCAACCTATACAAAACCACCCCCATATACGTTGAAGCGCCTGGTTCGCTTCGGTCTGCTTGTTTGGACCCCCTCACAAGATGTTCGCCACCTTCCCCAGTTTCGACCTCTGACCCCCGACATACCCAAAAACATGTGGCACATCTTTGTCGAGCCTTCAGCTTCTTTTCAGACTTGGGGTTTTCGACCAGTTTGGTTTTACCCTGGCGTCTCCATGGCCCTTTAAAAATGGGGTCATTACCCAAAATCATAGGGTCATGGACCCATTTTTACAGGGTCGGAAGGAGACTCCAGGACCAGCTTTTTCCGCCTTCCGCCTTTTCCGCCACCATGCCCTGAACCGCCCATGGCCTGAAAGGCCATGGACCTGAACCGCCGCTTCGCAGCGCCCTGGTGGAAACCCGTTTCGGCGGGAAAGCGCGCATGCACACA